TAGGACTTTATACAAAAAATGAGGAAAATGAAGAAATGAGAAAATGAAATTGTTGGCGAAACTCTATATTATTGCCGAATATCAAGAAAAATATCGATAAAAAAGCGCAAAGCATGTGCAAGTTGCCAAATTATTCAGTCAATCGATTCTCTCTTCTAAAAAAAATAAATATCGACAAAAAAAGAGTAAAAAGTTAAGCCTAATTTAGTAATGAATCTCGAAATCAAATCGTCATAGTAGATCAAAGAATACGAGGTTAAATCCATTCAATTCAAGCAAATCAGTTGCTAGCTGAATAAAATTACTGAAATTTTATTTATATCGAAGTAATAAATCATTATAATTATTGTAAATATTATTATTTGAAAAATTATATAATTATTTAAAAAATTGCATTTTCACTCCTTGCAAGTGGTATGAATAATCTTCAACCTAGGATCCTCTGCCAAAAACCTGGCATCTTGCGCAGTACCTTAGCTGTTCCTAACAGTGCCCTTCTCGAAGCGATCTCTGATATTGTTCGTGGAATTTCTTGGAGCTATCTCTAATTTAAAGGAGATCATTCGACTCATAAAGGCATTTTTTGAATGTAGGTCGTTTGTGTATATGGGGAATTAATAGAATCCTTTGAAATAAGAACTGGTGTTTGTCAAGCTCTCCTATCCCCTACAATATTCAACTATGCGATAGACTGGATAATGGACACCGCTTGTCGGCACTCAAGATGTGTCCAAATCAGTCCAAAGCATCGTATAACAGACCTTGAATACACTTATGATGTAGTCCCTTTTGCTGACAGTTATGAAAAAAAGCAAATAATGCTAAACAAAGTATCAGCAATTGCAGCAAGAATTGGACACAGAGTTAATGTAAAGACCTTTAAAACAAAAGCCTTTTCGTTACATGTGCAAGAAGCTGAAAAATACTTATTTTTGTCAATTCTTTAATGGTTGAGGAAATGCCTGATTTTAAATGCCTTGGATCCACTCCAATACAGAATGGCCAAACAAAAGACAACCCAGATTATAGCAGCCAGAAATGCATTCTTCCGGTTTACGAAACTTTTTTGGAGCCATCGTGAAATCACCATAAAAACAAAAATCCGCATCAATATAGCTGCGATTCAATCTTGCTATACTGCAAGACATGGCCAATGAGCGTGGAGGATATTAAGAAGTTATCTATCTTTGACCACTCATGTCTAAGATACATTTTGCTATCGCACTTTCTTTTAAGTACCACTTTACAGAGTGTCGCCTTTGCTGGTTTGGACACATCGTTCTCCGTCCACCACAAAAGTTGACACTTATTTCGTTATTGCTAAATCTTGTTATCTTTGTTGGATGGCATCAAGAGTAAGTGCCCCAATTATACGGTCAGAGACTAATAAGGTCAGGAAAGACTTTGAACGTATAGCTGGACCAGCAATATATGGACTTCTTCTTCTTCTTAAGTAGCCATTGGAGCCAACCTAACCAGTAATAGTGAGGGCTGTTACAAGAAACCTCTAGTTTAAAACGCAAAATGTTCCAATTATCATTGGGATTATTCTGGCCATCACTTTCCATATCTTCTCTAGATCTTCTTTCAACCCTGATATTTATCCAGCTTATCGCATTCCTTACTTTCTAACGTTCCTGTCACTTGGTACTGCTATATTTATCACCAGTGCTGATTTTTCGTTCTTGTCTACTAGGGGCATAGTTGATTAGCCAGTAAATATATATACATATATATATATATATTTTAATTTTAACTAGAATTTAATCAAATAGAAAAATTCAATTCAGTCGAAATAAATAGTCTAATGATCGCAAAAATATGTTTATGTGTATTTAATTGCTATATTTCTTTATAGTTACTAAATTCAAAATATTTTATCGATTGTATATATTTCTTTATAAATTGCTATATTTCTTTATAGTTACTAAATTCAAAATATTTTATCGATTGTATATCCAGTGAGTTGCCAAATTCTTCATCACTTGTCGTTTGCTAGCCTCAGTTAAAAATAAAAATAGGCCTAGCTAATCTCATCTAAAACGATGAAAACCTTTTTGCCACAGCCATTTACAGATAGAATTACAGGTTAATTTGTAAAATCACACGAGCTTCATTTTCAGTGTGTATGAAAAGGGAAAGAAGCGGAACCCACAATCTAAATAAATATAGAAAATTATATGCGCATGTTTGTATCTGGAAAAAGAATTACAGCGGTCTCAAACTGCGAAATCCGTTCATCGTGTTAAAATCCTTGATATCGCTTTAAAATCTATTTTATGAAAAATTTTCAAAAAAAATAATGAAAATTTTAAAAAAGTATAAAAAAAAGTAAAAATTCGTTCGAGTATAATCAAAGAAAAAAAAATTTGGAGTTTCCGAGTTTCCTCAAATATCCTTTATTTCTCAAAATTTTCATTCATATGATTCCTTTAAGAAAAAATCCTAAAAATAATAAAATAAAATCTCTAAGAATAACAACTATTTATGAATGAAGATTTATAAATTTAATATCAAAATATTCTATAAAAATTTTAATAACGTGTAGTGAATATAATAGTCTAATTTCAGTCTCGTAAATTATATTTATTCAAAATAAAAAATTTAAGTGCTATGTTTCTATAAATAAACCATTTAAAATTATAGATGCCCAGTTACAATACAAAATATTTCCCATAAATTTCGTCAATAGTGATAGATATATGAATATTGGCAAAAAAAATGTCGCAGTCGCATAAACCACAAAATTTAATCTACAATACAAAATTATTATAATTTAATCAAATTACAAAAAAAGAAATGGGATTACTTTGACTATTACTTTGACTGTTCGATAATTTACTTGTTAGTATCAGTTAATTCTCATTCGATTCACTAAATATACAATCATTTTTGTTTTCTATAACAAATTTTTCATAGTTTTTTTATTATTAATTTCATTGCTTAATCATTACGGCCCATTATATCCAGCATCTAAATTAGCATTATCTGGCATGACATTTCATTCGGATCTCCAACTGATCAACATATCAGCTCAAGTTCTTCCTAATTTATCGCAAAAAGAACATAAATAAAACGGTCCTCTAAATCAGTTCTCTAATTCTGAGGTGCCATTATTTAAAGTATATCCACCAGGTGGACGGAGTCTGATTGCATGCACGAAAAAATTTGGTAACAATTACTATTATAACAATTAGTACAGTAGAGTAATGATTACTATAGTACATTACTATAGTACAGTAATGATAATGAAAAACAAAAAGGTTATCACTAAAAAACAACATAATAATAGCAATAGTAATAATGAGAAGAAAGGTGATCAAGAAATTAGACACCCGTAGAATTCAAAATTAAGACTAAATGGACTGGCTTATCAGGAAATACAGCTGCTATCATTAGTAGTTCAATTCCCTAATAAAAAATCAGCCAAAAGAAGAGTTATCCTATTTAAATAATGATACATCAATTTAGACTTAGATGCAAAACTGGAGCCTAGGCTTGGTTCCAATGCACAGATTAGAGTCTAAACAACTTATTAAGCAAACCTAATCGAAAGTTTCCCATCAATGCTATGGCAAAGCGACATAATAAAATTACCTGAAATTTATGCGCGATTTTCCATAGAATTCAGTCGTAGCTTTTTTTTCCATTCAGAAATAAATTCTACCTGTTAGGAAATTTACCACTTAATTTCATAAAGTTTGCGTCAACATTTCCCGTGACAGTTGCATAAATTCAACGTTGCAAATCCAGTGAATTCAATGAACGCAATAACTAACATAATATGCTAAAAAATCTCGCCTCCCTCCATACATTTCTGTATTAAAAGATTCGTCAGAGTCACATACGTAGATCATGAAACGTGCTTCTTCCCGTCATCAAGGATGGCAACGAAGCTCTTAGCAAATCAGTCGAAACACCGACGCCATTCCACTTCCTGGGGAATGTACCTCACATATACGTATATTCGCGTACACCTAAATGCAGAGATTACATTGCAAGAAGTGGTGATGAATTCGAGAAATACAGAAAATTGAAAAATTTTCGACAGCAATAAATAAAATCACAAAGGTTAGAGGACGATGAAGCAGCAAAGAACGCAGAGGTCATGGAACCTTACATTAGTCGAACCAAGAAAGGGTTCATTCTAACAAAATAGGTGCAGATGCTACAATTTATTCTTGAAATTTAAGAAATAATCACTGCTTTTAAAACATTTAAAGACCGGATTACCCCTTAAATTGCAGACCTTAATGACTATTGGTTTCGACGATTGGTTCCAACCAGTTTTCGTTACAAGATTCGCAACGTATTTAGTCAATCTATTTTTGTTCAAATGATTTGTCTACAGCAGCACAAAATTTTTAATACACGAGAATTGTTAGATATATTGGGTAAAAAGTGAATTAGGTATCAGGTTTACTGAAGAAAGTATGGTGGGAGGGGGGATTCTTAGGAATACTTGCAGGGTCCTCAGATTGTAATTCATTTAATTAACCTAAATTATTATTAAATTATTAAGTGTTGCCTAACTAAAGAACACTTCCCTGTCACTTTATTGTCATTCTGTGGTACCTTAAAAAAACATAATTATTTCCATCGTTCCTCTATAATTGATTTAAAGCTAGCTCGTTGAATCTATAGAAAAAAATGGAAATTTTGGTGATTTTTTGAGGAATACAAAGTGCTAGAAATCGATTTTTGTAATATCCTGTCGGATTAATCTTGATGCTAATTGACCTAGATTTCACGGGTTGAGTTATTTCCTTTTTGGGTGTAATAGAGTATAATGAAGGTAAATACCTTTGGTACCACTGAGTATCACCTTATTTTGCATTTTTTTGCTTGGAGGATTTTTTAATATAAATTTTATTTCCTTTATTTCGTTTTTTATTTTGCCCTCTTTCAGTTTCGCTAAAGTTAAATTTAATTTTTGAATATTAATTCTTTAAAATTTTTAGAGGAAATCAAATTAATTAATTGCTTCAAGAAAAAAAAGAATGGGTGAATTGCAGTCATCTTTATTATTAAAAAAGCAATTAGCAGGTTTTTTAAAATTAATTTATTTTTTAAATTTTTTTAAATCATCATTTTTAATATTTTTTCTCAATTAATATTTCAATAATTCTTATTTTATTATTTAAATTACCTTATTTTTTCAATTAATATTTTAATTTAACTATTGCTTCAATTATTTTTGTTTATTTTTTGTTTATTTTAATTTTTCTTTGTATTATTTACTTATTCTACTTTGCTTAATTAAATTTTTTAATATTTTGATACTTTTTTGCAGAGCTTAGACGAGTACCAGTCGATGGCTTTTCAGCGGGACTTCAAGACGACGATATTTATAAATGGGAAGTTCTTGTCATTGGGCCACCTGATACTCTTTAGTAAACCATTAATTATTTGTTTCTCTTTTTACTACCAAAAAAATAAATATTAAAACTTGTAAAATTATAATTCAAGTTATTTTAAGTTGTTAGTTATTTTTATTTTATTCTAATAATAAATTATAAAAAACCAAGGCTATAAAATTATTTGTAGTAAAATCGATTACAATACCTTTTTGTCGATGCTAATAATTTTTAGTGAAGGAGGATTTTTCAAAGCACTATTAACGTTTCCGAAGGAATATCCACTTCGTCCGCCTAAAATGAAATTTATATCGGAAATATGGCATCCAAACAGTATGTTATTTTTTTTTCTATTAATACTTCTAATTTGATTGGCTTTAATGCCTATGAGATCTTTTCGTCCTATATACAAGAAACTGCTAAAATTCCTCTTTTTGTAAATTCATTGCTGGTCGAGGAAGTGTTCGATTTTAATTACTTTGGATCCACTCTAATGCCAAATGGCCAGGCAAAAGACGATATTATAGCCCGGATCATGGCAGCTATATGTTCTTCCGGTTGACGAAACCTTTATGGAGCTGTCGTGAACTTACTACTAAAACGAAAGTCCGCATCTATTTAGCCGTGATTCGTTCGATCTTTTTATATGGCTCTGATACATAGCCAAGGAGAGTGGAGGATATTAACTATCTGCCTTTGACCACCCTTGTCTAAGGTTTATTTTACGGGTCCGTCGAGCTGATAAAATATCACATGATCGCATTCATCTTCGTTCAAACACCTATATTAATAATATTATCACAGAGCGTCGCCTTCGGTGGTTGAGGCACATTCTCCGTCGTCCACCACAGGAGTTGATGCATATTTCGTTACTTGCTAAACCGTGTGATGGTTGGTGTCAAAAGCGAGGTGGGCCAATTAATACCTGGACTGATATGGTTGGAAAAGATTTTGAACGTATAGGTGGACCAGCAATATATGGATTTAGACGATGGAAAAAGGAATGGCTTCTATTATTGTCGACGATGGCATCTCAGACCGTGCCGCTTGGAAGCGTCTTACCCTTGTAGTCATTGGAGCCGCCTTAACCAGTACTGGTGAGAGCTGTTAGAAGAAGAAGAAGACTGTCTATGAGGAGTGGGAACCCATTGCCAGAGAGCCATTTAAAGATAAAAATATAATTCGTTCTCCATCAGTGAGATTTATTTCCTTGAAGAGATAGGGGCTGTCGATATTGCTGACCAATTTACTCCTTTAATATCATTTTTTTTTCAAAGAATCCTCACCAGTACTAGATGTACCAGGGAGTCCCTTGGCGATAGAAATACAGATGAGTTGCCAGCATCACCCGAATTTTTGTACAGCTTTTTTTTTTCTGGGGGGAATCGAACCTCATCATCGGCGCTCCCAATTGAGCAACAATCCACGAAACCATCCTATCCCCTTTATTATTATTATATGCTATACAATCATTTTTTATCTTCTTTAGTACTTATTAAGCCAGTAATTAGGGATTTTCTCTCCTATTTATTTTCTTAATTTTTATTGTCAGTTAGTTATTGTAGGTTAATCGAGTTGCTTTAATTTTCAAAAAGTTTTAGAGATTTGAGAATATATTATTTTCCCTCACGGTTTAGTAATATAATAGAAAAGAATTTCGGCGTGATCAATACGCTGTTGGCGAAACTTTTATGAAACCGCCGTAAAATCACCTTAAAAACGAAAGTCTACATTTACATAGCTTCAGTGAGAGTGATCTTGTTATATGATTGCGAAACTGTGATCGATGAGAGCAGAAGATATTAAGAAGTCTCTTTTTGATCACTCATGTCAGGTATATTTTACGCGTTCGCCGAGCGGATGAAATCTCAAGTGATTGCATCCACCTTCGTTCAGAAACAATCTACATTAGCGCTACCATCATAGAACATCACCTTCGATGATTAGGGCGTTTTTCCGCTCTCTAACACAAGAACTGACATATTTCGATACTAGCTAAACACTGTGATAGATGGCGTTAAAATCAAGAAGGGCCAATCAAGATCTGGATTATTAATGTTAGAAAGAGAAAAATCAATAAGGTGAAAGTCCAGTAAGTTTCAAAAAATTATTGTGATCTTTCTTCGTCTCACTTTTAACAACTTTTAATCTAAATATCGAATTTATATGTGGTCTGATTCATCAATTATAAGCTTATAATACTTGTTGGTTAGGATAATTAATTTGCGATGCTATTTGTTAAAAATTTTCATTTCAGTTGATAAAGAAGGAAATGTTTGCATATCGATTTTACACGAGCCTGGGGATGATCGTTGGGGTTATGAAAAACCTGAAGAGAGGTGGCTACCAGTTCATACTGTGGAAACGATTTTATTGTCTGTGATTTCAATGTTGGCTGATCCTAATCATGACTCGCCAGCAAATGTTGATGCTGCTGTAAGTATTTTTTTTAAATCTGATATTTTGATTATTTTAAATCTTTTTGAATGATTTATATTAAATCATATTTAAAGAAGATGCAACGTGAAGATTTTCCCGAATTCAAAAGAAGAGTGGCTGCATGTGTTCGAAAGAGTCAAGAAGAATGTTAGCTCAATTTGTGGATCGTTGTGGTGACTTATGGGGGAATTTCTAGTGTTTTTTGATTCACATTTGATTAGATTTTGCACCGGATGCGACAATTAACAGTTATTTTTTGTCCTTCCAATTTTTTTAAAATTTTTTCATGATTTTGCTTAATCCATTTTAATTATTTGGTCTGTTTTTTTGATGAATTAAAAGAAAAATTATAGACCTTTTTTTTTGCGTTTCAATTCATTCTTGATACTACAAGGTCTTTCCTGGTAAAATTATGTGATTTAATTTTTGGCTCCAAAGTATTCTTGGGTTGATTATTGATAATGTGTTGTTTCTCGGTATATTTTTTATATATATCTTAATTGACCAAAATTTAATTTTTAACAATTAAATTTAGCGATTTCTCTCATTATTATTGTCATTCAATCACATACATCTTGAATTTCTATCAATTACATATATCTTTTTATATAATTTGCTTTTAATTGATAGTTATTTCTTATTTCTTATCAATTCTTATTATCGGCGCAACAAACAAGCGTTAATTACTATAAAAAATTTAAAGTTTTTCATCAAATTCAGATATACTTCTTTAAAATCACTCGAGCCTTAAATCCTCATTGTTTTTCATGAACGCTCACCAATTGTTTTCTAATGTCGTCCTATTTCCTTTTACAATTTTATAATTCGTGACAAAGCCATAAAATCTGACATGATATAATCTACAATTCGGTTACCGAGCTTAACTTGGGTATGAATTATTTAAGAGGCTCATTTCAAAAAGCGAAGTGATGTCAGTAGACTGAAGAAAAAGAAAGGGTACTTTTAGTGCACTAGTTTTTTTACTATTTTTTTAACGAAATATGACAGGTTCTAGGAGAAGCAAAAGGTTTTTTAAAATTCATTACGATGAGGCGAGATTTTGGATTACGGCCACGTTGATTTTCTAATAGTGGACAACATTTTATATTCCAATATTTTACAGGAACTGATTGAAATATATTTTAGGAGATTTGCGTGGAGAGGATATTGGTAATATGACGAGGCTTTGGTTCCATTATATTTTAAGCCATCATAGCAGAGGGCTTAAAGACTGGACGGAGTCAAAATAACAAGAAATGTTAATATAGCTTTAAAAAAAACTGCTATTTGATAGTGATAGTAAGAGGATTAAGAAGGCAGATTGTGAGAGTTTCCGAGGAGATTACGAAGGAACATGAAAGTTTTTAAGCGGGTAATGTATGGCGAAATGGCTGGCAAAATTTGCCAAGCGAACGGAGCAAGCCTGAAATAACGAGCATCTCAGAAAAAGATCTAAGAGATACATTGGTATTATTATTTACTATTAGGTCATAGTAGATAGGAACCATGGGGTTCATTAGAGCATTAAGAAAATATAGTGGGCTTCTCGGTGGTGTTAATGTGATAGCAAGTTCCAGGGGAAGTTACTGATAAAGCGAGGTTCGAAGAGTTGTGCAAGTCTAAATTTTGAGGGCTGAGGGGAAACAGAAAAGATCGGATTTAAATGGCCCTCTTTTGCAAGGATTGGGAAAGAGAACTGAAAATCTTGACAAAATTTGTCAGATTGTCAAATCAGATTTAGATCTTAGAAGAAATATTTTGAGAAAAATTCAGAATTTTTTTTCCGAAGACAAACACTAATATAACTAATTCCATGGGTATGGTTTTCACTTAAATCACTGTGGCAATAATAAAATGATTTATTTAAAAGGACTTTTTTTAAAACAAATTACAGTTTGGATTAGTGCAATATTTGCTTTATGCAGAAATGAGTATTTTAGATTTTTTCGAGAGGAGAGACGATACGGTTAACGAAGATTTGTTTTGCTAATTTTCTTTTATTCCATTTATTACAAATAAATTTATAATCATTGAATTTGGATGAGCTGAAAAGTGTTTCATCAATATTGCATTATCAGGTTTAACCATCAGCAGTTTGTTTACGAGTTCGAGTATTCGATTTGCACGGTCTGGCTGACTTGCATGAAACACTGAGCAGTGTCGTCTCAACCAATATTTATAAATTTCGTCGAATTTAGCAGCAAACGTTAAAAGTTTACGTTGACCTAAATTTGAAACTCTGTCAAATTATGTCTTTTATATCGTTCTGCAAATTTCTTATTTTTAAATGAGATTTTTATGTGGTAATTTCATGTGAACCTTCTTCCAAATGGCGAAATTTTATGGCGAAATTTAAACATTTTATCAGGCAAATAATAATTATGATTCTTCATCGTTTTCACCTGCTTCATCTTACTCATCTTTGGTTGGCACTACTGGCCAATAGGATGAGCTTCACCACGTAATAATTTGAAGATAGGAGCTGCTCGCAGCAGCCGAGATGGTTATTAAGGTAATGCGGACAAAAGTTATTAACCCAATGTGCAAATTGCAAAATTTGTTGCTAATCGGAGTTCTTCAAAATCCAGTTCCTGTAACGTCTCATTTTTCCATCGAAACACTTCGCTTAGCTATAAAAAATATATGCAATTTTCCTGTAAATTGAACGTAATATTATCTAAGCAACCTTAAGGAATGAAAAGGTGAATTCATTCATGATTCATTGCTACCGACACCAAAAGCTTTTGCATTTTTAAGTATCAAAGATTGTACCAAATCTTAGAATTCGAAAAAATTGTTTCTTTCATGCATTTCCATTTGTTATTTCTACGCATCATAAACTCCAAGAAAACATAGAAATTAGCAAATTCTGAATTGTTATGAACTAATTAAATAAAATCCTTTAAAATTGGATAAAATGAGGCGAAAAACGAACTCCATTAGAAATTCACCTGTGGATCTGAAAAATTAGAGAGATTTTTAAAATTACAATATTCGATGAAAAAGAATACGATCCAGTGTTCGAGAAGTATCGCCAATTTTTCTGTGCACGTCACAAACATAAAAAAAGGACTTTGCAAGCATCGTTTTATACAGCTTATTAGGATTGAATCATCTGAAACTTTTTTAAGCTTATAGCAAAGAGCAAGCAAATTGAAAAAGCATATGGTAATTTACATGGGAAAAATTGGTTGCTTATACGATTTGTTTAGGTAAAGAAAACAAGAATAGGAGTGTTTCGTGGAGTATGAGAAATACTTTTCGGTTATGCGGTAAATTTATATAAATTTGAAGATATCACAGATGCAAGAGGAACCTCATAAGATGCTTATCTTCGGTCTAGTATCATTCGATTAAACCCTTGGTAGACGAGAAAATAACTGGGGACATGATGGCCGAATTTCGCAATAAAACAAACAATTCTCCATATTATATAGGTTTATAAGAAGAATTCATGCACATAAAATATACATTTAGCGAATTTTGAAATTGGTGGCACAATCCTGCATTGTCGTTTTAATGATTTAATTTTTCGTGGTCCTCTTTCTTTCTGGACAGCTGCAGAAAATTTCTTGGCAATATTAGTATGAAAAATGAATAAAGATTGAAAAATTAAAATAAATAAAAATTTATCGATTGGCTTTTTTGATATTATTTCACCACGTAAAAATAAATAGCCAATAATAATCTGAACCACTATCCATTCGACTATCCTGCCTCTTGCCATACTTCAACATTCGCGGAGGAGAAGAGTTTTTGCGAACATTAAAAAAAGTCATTAGATATCGTAAATCAAGAAAAATAATTGAAGGACTCCAAAAATATTTCATATGACGCCTTCCTCCTAATAGCAATTTTAAATTATAAAAGAAAACTTCTACAATATAACCTGGATTCTCTGTCAATTCGTCGTATTAAACAAGATTTAATTTATACTTATAAGATTCTGTATGGTTATGCTAAACTGGATAGTCCAAAATATTACAATTTTAAGCTAAATTTGAATCCAACAAGAACTAATGGGCTAAAATTACTAAAACCTATGTGTAAAGCAAAACTAAAGGACTTATAATTTCTTTATTCGTACTATTAATTACTGGAATAAATTACCGAACGATATAGCTTATGCGTCATCCTTAGCTATCTTTAAAAAAGATTAAATAATATCATTTGTGATATATTTATAAGGTTCAAATCATACAGGAAGTGTGAAATCTCGATTTTTACCATCCGATTATATATAATGTAAAGTTATGTACCAAAAACATATTAATAAGTCCGAGAATTTGAAAACTTACAGACACAATGGAGTTACTTCGAATTGTATTATATTATATTATATTCTGCAATTTCCTTTTTATTTCCTCTTCAAATGTCACATTTTGTCATTTTTTCTTATTACTAAATTTTATTGTTTTTTTTAACTGTTGTTATTAATACAAGCAAATGGCTTATCGCCCTTCTTGGCTGGTTTTCAATAAATAAATAAATAAATCGAAGATAAAACCCCTTTAACATTATTCGACACTTGTAGACATGAGATGTATACTTTTGAATTATTTCAAATGCCTAAATATTTATATTTTCCATTGACATAAAAAATTAGCCAAAAAAATTAATCAAATTAGTCAAATCGCTAAAGGTCAAATATATCAACCAAAAATTACCATTAAACCTACAAAGTGAACTTTAGTAACTCATCGGATATCTTTAGAGAGGAGATTTCATCCTTTTAGTGACCAGCAATATTATTGAATTAAATTACCATTTTTATTCATATTCATTTCAAAGCATCGTCGAAGACGACACGCAGGACACCAGTTTCGCCTTGTTTTATCAACCGGACAATTATTATAACCAGCTAGAATCATCATATTGAAGTACTTTCTATCGGAATTATGGTGGCTACATAAATTTAGTTACAAAAAAAATAAAGGCATCATTGAATTATTGAAATATAATTGCCACATTCCCAAAATGTATAGTTAAATGTAAAGTTATGTACCAAAAACATATTAATAAGTCCGAGAATTTGAAAACTTACAGACACAAATATAAGATGAGCCACGTCGAATGCTAAAATATCAATCTTCCATTATTAAACCAGTTGAGTACCAAAAATATATTAATTAGTGTTTAAGAATTAGAATTT